ATTGCACATTTCTACAAGTTCGCCATTAGTCCAGTAGCATCACCAAACAGCGCCAGAAGCTCTTTCATAGACAGCAATTCGCTCTCTTTTGGTTTGAGGAAAGGCACTGCATCATCTACTTATAGCGACAGGCGATGACGCACACCCCATCTATCCAGCGGTTCGAACACACCAGCAGCCTCTGCCTTGTCCACCATCGTAAGAACATCCATGATCCGAAGGAACAAGAGGGCAAGAGGGGATCTCCCTACCTCAACCTGTGCGCGTGCCAAATACGATGGCCCGGTTTACCATTCATCAACATCTTTGAACTTGCCGTGGTAAGAAGCAGAGAAACTCAAGAACCCATCTTGGCCCAAAACACCTCTTCTCTAAGACTTACATCAATAGAGGCCACTAGATGGAATAAAAAGCTCGCACCATTTCCAATTTAATTTATATGGGAGGGACCTTGCGACAATGAAACAAATTGACCTATTGATCGACCAGTAGGAAATTATATTGGATTGATCGTCTCCGGATGAATGCCCTTCGATTCACCATAATGAGCATATTCAACATAGGACTCACCTGCAACGCAAGAGCCTTGGTGAAAATCTTAGCTAAAACATGAATCCGAATAATGGGCCGGAAGACCATGACTCGCTGTCTGGTTGTAGATGGCTGAGTTTTGACGCGGATCTTCATACAACTCCACATAGCCTCCACTGTGCGTCAGATTTTAGGTTTTTTCTGGCCCAAGCCAAGATGGCCGAGTTTCAGTCATTTAAAAAATTTCCACAAAACCTTGGACGAAATTGCAAAATCAAAGTTAGATTTTGAATGAAATTTGACCAAATTTTTGACTAGGCCGAAAGGTACTTTTCCGCCCCAAGCCGAGATGGCCGAAATTGGATTTTTTCAGCCGAAAATCAAAATTATGGTGTGCGTTGAGTCGATGATCGCCTACGACGAAGTCTGAGTCGTTTGCTCAAGATTTTGGATGGCGATGATGCCTGTAAGTGTTGAGTGATGATGATGACGCCTCTGTGCTGTCTCGGTGAGGCCCTCTTTGGAGGAGTGTGCGTAGGGTATGTGTGTGCCGCTCATCAGTTGTGATGGTTTCATTATGTTTTCACTCATAACTGGGCAATCTTGTTTTCGCTCGGTTTTCTTTAATTAACTGAGTAACTCTTTTCTTTTTAATGAACGCATAAATCCTCTCATTTCAAACAAAAAAAGTATCTCAGTACTAATAAATGATACTACATCGTAACTGGTAACACATCCCTACTTGAAAGCAACAAGACTGGAGCAAGATATTCTAACACACTAGAATGTTAGTTTTACTCATAAGTCACAAACACACCACAAATTTCACCCGGAAGGAAGACTCCAGCAAAATAAAACTAGTGGTTGCCACGGCCATCCATCCATCTCAACCACCACGAAGACGTAGACACAAATGAAGGGTGCACTCCTCATGAACCTTGTAGTCCGCCAAGGTGCCACTCTCCAGCTGCCTGGCAGCAAAGATGAGGCGTTGCTCCTTCGGGAAAGGGGCGTAGTTCCTCTCATAGATCTTCACCTTGACGCTATCAATGGTGTCCAAGCTCCCAACCTCGAGAGTGATGGTCTTCCCAGTCAGCACCTTCACGAAGATCTGGATCATGTCTCCTCTCGGAATACACGGGTGGAGGACAAGGAGTATTGTGGACTCCTTGCAGATGTTGTGGTCTGCCAAGGTGCGGTTCCCGTTTTCTAGGCGCCTGCCAGCGAAGATGAGGCACTGCTGATCTATGGGGAAGCCCTGGAGGGCATAGATCTTGGCCTTCACACGGTCGATAGTGTCTAGGATGTCAACGTCAAGGTTGTTGATGATCCTGCCCATCAGTGTCTCCATCACGTAGATCTGCGTCTTCTCTTCAAGGTCAATAGTGGAGTCCTGCTGGATGTTGTAATCGGCCAATGTACTGTCATCCTCTAGCTGCACCCCATTGAAGATGAGGTGATACCGCTTCTGGATATCTTCTCATTGACGGAACGGAAGGTGTCTGATGGGTGCACCCAGACCCGGATGGTTCTACCGGTGGGGTTCTTGACAAAGATGTTCATTGTTCTGGATGAGCAAAAACCAAACACCGGCAGTCGTTAGGCACTTGTATGTTTAAGCTATAGAGCAATGCACAAAAACGTCAACAATTCCAGCAGGTACGTACTTAAGCAACGGGAGAAATCTTGTCACAAGGTGGAGCAGTACATATAAAGATAGTTTCTTCCCAAAAGAAGTTAGTGATGAACAGTTTATAACGTTGTCCTAAGATCTAAAACTGAGATGATCCTAGCAATCACCGACATGAGATCCTCGCACTAGCTAGTAGCATAGAATATGGATACGCCCAAAACAACAATGACCAGCTCTGTACCTTGAAGTGGATCGACCACACGTCGATGCTTGTTGCTTCCGCCGGAGAGAGAGCAGGCAGGGAAGGAGATCGCGATCCGGAGTAGTACGAGAGTTAGGGTTGGGGATAGAATATATAGATGGCGTTCTTTTTATAGGGTCCGGTCCAGTCTATTAGGTTTTACAATACCATCGCACATATATACACCCTTAATTAATTTCTGTCACAAAATTGGAATATCATTTTTTTTCTTGCACGGATCCCACTCATTTTGGCCGATTTTTTCATTGGTTTCCTTACCCCGGTTTTCCTTTGCTTCTTATGCGTTTCTTTTTCTGGATTCATGCTGCTTCGATCGTCGGGGTTTTTGCCTTTCTGCTTGTTTTTTTCTGTTTCTTTTGTTTTCCTAGTTTTTAAACATTTTTACAAAATACATGAATATTTTTTTAAAAATATAAATATTTTAGAGAATTATGCATTTTTTCAAATCTCATGATTTATTGTAATTTTGTATAAAAAATTAAATTACAATTTTTGAAATTTCATAAACATCCTAAATTATATAAAATAATGCTTTTTCATAAGAGGAGTTGCTGGCTTTTTAACCTGTTTTTTTTGGTGAATTCGATTTTCTTTTGGACCGAAGGAGAAACGCTGCAGCGCTATTGGTCCTGGCCAACAGTGAGTAATACTATCATCTATTCATCACCGTGGGTGATGCCATGTTATTATCAGTATTTTTGAAAGATATATTATTATTTTTAAGAAAATAGTTGCCACAAGTATGAATACTTCCCAGAAAATTAATAAATAGTAGTCTTAATTTATTTTAGAATAATTTCCCGGATGCTGTTCAGTTTCTAAGCGAAGTGCATCACAATTTTTCCGCAACTCTCTCATTTTTTACCACACACACCACGTGGGCATGCCATGTGATCATGCCAAGTTTCATATTTTTTTAAGAATTCATTTACACCTTTTTAGAAATCAAAATTCATTTATCCCAATTAAATACCTAAAAATTCATTCACAGCTCGCACATGCGACGACCCTGCCAACAGGACAAACAGCTCCAACTTTCCCTTCAAAGACTAGACTGTCTGCCGGCTTTGGTATGGCTGCTGGACCTCCACCTCTACACCGTTCGTCCAATGGCCATTGGCACCGGTCATCTGGTGCTAACAACAAACAAGCGCCTAAAGCACTTCCCACTCGTCATCCCAAGAACAAGCTCAAGGGGGACGTCGTGATGCTGC